GAAATTCAAAGCTAAAATATACAGAAAACAGGCTCATACGTATCAAGTCTGCAACTACAATAGAAGTAACACAGCAATACACAAAACCTGCTGCATAAAGGTATTGTTTCAACAAGCGAAAACCTACTGTTGTACATCAACCCTAAGGAGAAAAGAAGAAAACTATTTTATAGCTATTTCTGAGAAGAACGGCAATCCACACGACTTTAAAAATGTTTACATACTTCATCATCAACCAGGAAATCAATCTCAAAAACTAACAAACAGCTTGTCCTACCCTACACGAAATACCTCTCCGAGTTAATGAGTAGATTATTGAGGCCTTTTAGAATCGCTGTATTATATATAAACCAAAAATCTCAGTCTGTGTTATGCAGACCAAAAGATACGATAGCAATGGAAGACAAACTAAACATTATCTTCCAAATAAGCTGCGTAAACTGCGACAAAAACACTACATCTGACAGGGTGGTCCCTCTCTTCGCATCTGGCAGTGAAGCTTCATGAAATATATTGGCTCATATCAATGCATGCAGACAAGTGCGGACACAAATTTGAGTGGGAAAACAGAAAAATCTGGATAGAGTAAATACGTGGAATGCTAACGATTTTTAGAAGCTTGGTATCCAGGTCAGTCAGCGATCAACAAAGTTAGTGACGTTGAACCAATCTACTGACTAGTAAGAAAAAACGAGAAGGTCAAATTTTAGGTCAGCAAGACAACAGATCAAAATAAACATAGGGACATCGATAAGACATAACCTCTCCTGGTTCAATAGTTCACTAGTTACTAGCCAATCCTAATCTCGGGTAAAGAGGGAAGGTTGTGCATACGGCTAGCAACCCTAACCCGTAAAACCAATCAAATCGCTAAACAAACTTCAAAGCACAAACAAAATATTAAAAATAAGAACAAAATCACTCCTCACTGGAATCGGAGAGGCGAAATGACGCCAGTTGGTGACAGCCTTCGCAAAGCCGATTGACCGATGCATCTTCACTCCCTAGATGAAAGCAAAATTAAACATGGGGACATGGAATGTCAGCACCATGTTTGAACTTACCAAGGCTGCCCAGACTGAAAAGGAGATGAAGAGGTATCACATCGAAGTGCTTGGAATTTGCAAAAGTAGGTGGAATGGGAGTGGACTCTCCAAACTGTTAACTGTAGAGTAGAATCAATAATCTACTCCGATATTGTCATCCAAACGACAACCACATGCACACTGAATATTCGAGTGGCTATCATGTGATGTCCCCAACAGCATCGAAGGCTATCTCTCTCATGCAGTGGGAACCAATCTACTCCTCCAGGATCATGACAGAAAGGTTCAACTCATAAGGAAGGAAGGAAGGAAGGAAGGTCACAATGGCTCAATGCTACGCTGTGCACCTGCAAATAATGCCAATGAAGAGGAGAAGGAGGAATTCTACAGACAACTGCAATCAGCACTGGACAAGAACCCAGTTAGTGACATCAAAATTCTAATGGGCGACGTGACTGACAAACTGGGAGCGGAAAAACACAGGAAGAGAACTAACCATGGCAGAGAAGAACTCGGTGAAATGAATGAGAATGGAGAATTGTTTGCAGAATTCTGTGCATTCAACGAATTGGTGATTGGAGTCAAGCAGTGTGTTCAGGCACAAGGATATCCACAAAGCGAGCGACATGGATTTGAATTCACCAGACACCAGGACACACTAAAAATCAGATCGACTTCAAGGAAGTTGGTGATAGACCACAGTTGAAGCTGAACACCCAATACAGAAACTAACTGAAGGACAAAACTACAAAGGAAATCTTCACGTCATTCAGCCATCAAGACAAAATGGAAGATATCGAGCAACATTCCTGAAGAAACCTGTGTGGAAGAATACTGGAACTTTCTGAAAGCTGTGTGGAAGAAAACCTGCACAACCGTATTAGGAAGGAAGAAGAAAGAAGATAAGGAATGCATCTCGATGGATGTATGGAAGCTGATCGAGTAGGAAGAGGGGGATAGTGAAGCAGAAGATAAACCAGCCCAAGGATGAACGACGAGAAGAGGAACTGAATACAATGTATAAAACACTAAACTGGACAAAGAAGTGAAGAAGAGTGCACGCAAAGACAAACGACACTTCTACGAAACACTGGCAAGTGAAACAGAATAGGCTGCAGGTAGGAGAGTCAGAGACCTGACAACATTATATCAAATAACCAGGTTACTATCTGTGAGGGAATAGATCAACACAGATGAAACCATTGAAAGATGATGAAGGAAATTGAATTACGAAAGAAGAGAAACAGAGGAAACGATAGGCTGACCACTCAAAAAAGCCCTTGAATAGACCACCACCTGCACTTCGTCCAGAAACACCACCTGCACTCACAGAACTGCCAGTGAACACAAATCCTCTGACGAAAGTATAAGCCCTGAATGCCATGAAGCTACTGAAATGCGGGAAAGCAGCAAGAGGAGATGGAACCCCACCAGAAGGACTGAGAACAGACTCAGAGACAACAGCAGACGTGCTCACACCACAACACTATGGCAGAAGGTGTGGAAGGAGGAGGAGGTACCTGCCGATTGTTTGGAAGAAGAGCTACCTTGTCAAACTCTCACTCAAGAGGGACTTAAGCGTTTGCAAGAACTGGAGTGGAATCATGCTCTTGCCCACCCAGAGCAAGCAAAATATTGAGCCGCATCATCCTGGAAAGACTAAACAATGCACTGGATTCAAAACTTCGATCCAAACAGGCTGGCTGGATTCAGGAAGTACAAATCATGTGCCGACCAAATTACAACGCTATACTACGCTTCATCATAGAACAGAGTGTCGAATGACAGTCGATTCTCCACCTCAAATTCATCGACTTTGAGAAGGCATTTGAGAAGCTTCCACCCAGAGATAATTTGGAAATTGCCTCAACACTACAGAACACCGCAAACCTTTATCAATCTCATTCAACAACAGCTGTATGAAGACACCACATGCCGAGTAATTCACAATGGGAAGCTCAGTAATGCCTTCACAGTGAAGTGAAGACAGGAGTGAAACAAGGCTGTCTACTATCACCCATGATATTCTTGATTGTAGTGGACTGGATCATGCAAGAAACAGTGGGGAGCTGTGAGAAGAGGGGGATGCGCTGGACTGCGGAGAAGAACCTGGAAGACTTGGATTTCGCCAACGATGACTTGTGTCTGACTCCACACAAACTTGAAGATCTACAGGCGAAAACTAACAATTTGACAGAAACGTCGAGGTAGGGCAGCGAAGACGTGACTTCAAGTGAATATAGAGAAGACAGAGGTGATGAAGATACCCAACCAACAACAACAAACTCCAATCACCATCAACAGGAGAAACCTGAATGAAGTAGCCTTCTTCACCTGTCTAAGCAGCACAGTCTTAACTACAGGTGACGGCACAGACGAGGACGTGAAAGCAGCCAGGATCGGAAAGACAGCAAGACAGGCCTTCGTTCATAAGCCTGATACCAGTGTGGAGATCTACTGCACTCACCATGTGGAACAACATCCAGATTTTCAACACCAACGTCAGTCAAGTCAGTGCTTCTGCATGGCTCACAGACTCGGCGCGTTACGAAAGGCATTTCCAACAAACTACAGATATTCATCAACAACTGCCTATTCTGGCTGGTTACTGACACCGAAGCTAAGATGTTCAGAATAATGAGAATAAGCAACAAGCAACTCTGGCCTGGCAACCAACCAACCAACCAAGAACCTATCGCTCAACAAATATGCAGAAGGAGGAGGTGAAGATGGCTCGTATTGGGCATACACTGAGAAGGCCGATTGGCGACATCACGCGCCAGACCAGGCACTTGAGTGGAATGGGAGGGGGAAGCGACGAGTTGGATGTCCGAGGCGAGGGTGACATTGAGGAGATCGTGTGAGGAGGAAATGATGGCTAGTGGGCTGTTGTGGAGCCAGGTTCAAAAGATTTCAGAGAAGGGAGTGCACTGGAGACGTGCTACTGAAGCCCTATGTTTCATTAGGAACCCAAGGGACTAATAATAATAATAATAATCGACAAGACTTTGGCTGAAACAATCATTCATACACAAGACCATCGGTACAATCTAGTAAACAAATTGTGGAGAAAACGCTACAGCTCAAGTCTTTCTGAAGTTTGTTCTGTTGTTGTCTAAAATGACAGCGAAAGCCCCTCAGTTCAGAGAACACAACACAATCAAAATTATTCTCCTAAGCTGCGAATATTCTACATCACGTGAAAACGAGTCTGACGAACACTAAATTCACTGATAAGTTTAAAAGATTAACAACCATACAGATCTTAGCCTTCAGACATAATGAGAAAACGTATGCTTTAAACAGTGCCATGGGGGCTCGAAAACAGCAATAATGGAGTTATCTTAAGGTTAGTCAAATATCAGATAAACGTTAGGCAAAATCTTGGCTATTATAACAGGAAATTACTCACATCAACACTTCAGCAACTTAAGAGTAACTTACATGAAGATGATCAAACTTACAGGTGTTTTCTGGTTAATCTTTCGAAGGCTGGAGATATCCTTAATCCCTATGATAAGTTTAGCAGTGGCCACTTATGATTTATCTGAATTATGTAGGCAGAATAGAAAACTAGGAACAGAGAATTTGCACATGCCACTCAATAAAGATTTATGCTTCTCGTGCGCATATATCTTATGGTGAATACCATTCTATACGGAGATTGTCAAGATGAACTTTTAGGTGTTTCAAAAAGTGAATAACGTAGATCCGTATTTATTGTGCATGATCCTCGCAGGTGAAAGACATAGTTATCCTTTGCAAACAAAGTAAAGATTCCACTATTTTAGCATCCTAGATGGAATGAATTTTATGCGTAAATACAATTCATTTTTCACTATTCCTAGTTTTTCCTAGTTTTTCAGCTAGCTGAAAAAGAATAACTAAATTTGAAAATTTACCGCATCTAATTTTTTGCCCTTGCATTCTTTTCTGGCTTTTTGGCAAATAAAGACCGTTCAGCTGATCATAGAAGATACCCCACCTCGTGGAAATTGGTTATTCCCTGAGACTGTTCACAAACGCAGTATGATTTTATACACTTCCAAGAATATAATTTTAGAAGGGCGCACAATCATTGTAGTGATCTTACTATCTGGAATGTCAGCATTTCTAGCTTCTATATTCATCAGTTCGATTCTGTGTTTAATCAAACCTTGCAAGAAGTCAGGAGACTCTTTTCATCCAAACGTTAAAATTAAAGCTGAAAACACCAATGGTTTTTATCACAAGAGTACAGGATTCAATATAACAATGTTCAATGACAACGCTGTTAAGTTAAAAGCAGTTCCAAATCAAATAGCTTATAAAAACTGTTACTTGAATTTTCCTAATCAGCAGCATCAATATCTTATAAGAGAGTACAGTTCAGGAGAAAATGCCAATTATGTATTTGATAATATGCTGCCACCTGTTGCTGGTCATAGTACTCAGCAGGAGTTTGAAGGATTGCTGATCACCAGTGAATGTTCCACACTAGCTGACGTTGAAGTTGGCAATCCATCGTTATTCAAGTTACCTGACGTTATTAGTAATAAAACTAGCATAATCCCAAATAGTAATAGCTTACCGACAACTTTTGACATCTCAACATATTGTCAAGGTGACTTAACCAGTGCAAAGCAAGACCCATGTATGATGGACGGAATCAGCAATCCATGTATGGAAAATGTTTTATCGCAGATTTATTCATACCACAATGCCGTGAGTTTCATACATATGGTTGGAGTGGCTGTACCACTTTAATCGTATATTGCATAAATCTACCAAACATTTAACCTTTTCAAGTACTATATGACGAACTGTTTTGATGTTTCCTGGTTTTTGTTTTTAGTTGAAGGTTAATGAACTTAGTGCAAATTGAACTTTTCTTGATTTCTTATTACATTAGTACTCATAATATTACCAAGGTTACTCACGAGCTGTAGTTGATATGCAAAAGGTTTCAATTCTTACACCACTTATTAACTGAGTTACAGATCTCTTAACTTTACATTTTCAAGTCTGATTTATGAGTCTGGTTTCCGTATTTCTCGTAAAGCCTATAAATCCAACCTGATCCTCCTAGTGAAGCATGGATGGAAACGAAGAGGCAGTACACTTCTGTTATACACGTTTTACAAAACGTTTTTACTGAAGCTAGTGGTCGACTCACATTTTATACTGATTTCTATTTGTAGCAATCTGTAGACTCCAATTTGGGTTAGGTTTACTAAGCGAGATTTTCTGAGATGTTTAGATGAACCAAATATTCATGTTTGCACAATTGTAAGGACGTTCAGTCGAAAATATATTAATTTTTGATCATCTTCAGAGGTACTTTGATAACTACTTCTACCTAGTCAGTATCATCATAAAGCCTAATGGGAGATACTGCCTGACTTAGTTTATACTACATATATAACTAATTATATTGGCCACCGTCAGAGTGACGCTTCATATACTTCACTTCATTTTTCCGTCTAAAAGTGCTTAACCACTCAAGAAAACAAAATGCTTCACTTCACGGACTTTAAAGACAACCTGGTTTTTATCAACCTGAGTTCAATTTCTTCCAAAACCACGGTTCGTCTGCTCTAAATGAGTACCGTAATATTGTTTGAAAGCAGCATTGGACGATCTCATTTTAGTCAACAGACTAAAATGGAACTACACTCTGCTGCAGTACCAAAGTATTACTCACATATTAACATCAGATAAGTTGCATATTTGATAGGCATAACTTGGGTAAGGCTTAAAAATTAGCCCTGAATTTAGACCAAATTTTTATCATAAAACTTTGCTATAAGGATATTTTGTGTCAATGGGTATACGAACATAAGCTTTTATGTGTTTGTTAAACAGGCTCAACAGAACAGATGGAATTACTTTTATCTGGAATACCCACCCAGTAACTTTCAACCTATGATATCAAATATATTTGTGCATAATATGCCTTCCAAATCCTCAACTTTTTCAGTACAACAACCGAATACCAACAGTTCATCACCTGGAGTCGGAGTCACAAGGCCCTCATTATTATCTTCTAATATTTCTACTATAAAACCAGAGCAATTCATACTTCAGTGCAAAAAGTCACCTCCTCTTTCTGTAGCTAACTGTTATAAACACAGAAAATTGTATACAACGTCCCCAAATCCATTGACATGCACATCAATAGTGCTTCACCCAAACAAAAACATTTTTATAAATTCAGAGCAATTCATTCAAGAAAATGCTGCACATGATGGCTCAAGTTCACTGAAACACTCAGAGGTAGTTACTGGAGAGGAGCAACGATCAGACAGTGGACGTGGCGCCAGTGATGAAGAAAATTCAAATCAAATACACTCAGTTAATGGAACGTAAGCTTTATTACCAGTGATCACTGCACCAACGCATGAAAAAGAAGCTTCCGACATATCTGTGCATCAGACGAAGATAAACTAAAAAATTCTTTATCACATTTTAATAGGCTGTTAATTTATTTACAACTGTGTTTCAGTTGGTCTATTTTTTTAGATCTGCTGAGAATGATTTGTCAGTCAACTTTATGACTAGGTAAGTACTTTGTGAGGAACTTGAGAAGTAGATTGAATAAGCTTACCCAGCGTAGTTTTGTGTTCATTAGTTGACTACCACTAAAACAACTAATATTATTTTGTTTTGTGTATGTGAAGCTTGAGAGTGTGCATCTTACTGTTTTCCCATTTGTCAGTAGGTGGCGAAATATTCGGGACTTACAGAGCCACTTACTAGACAAAGTTGAATTTCTGCAGTCTTCTTATTGCCTAGTGATCATCACAAACAATTATGTCATGCAGTCATTAGTCATGAGGCTTCTATGAAAGCCTTCTGTTAGGCATTTAATTTGCTATGAACAATTAAAACAAACCACAATAACTTTGTTTCATTTCATTTTATTTAGTAAAACATCTAAATGATATGCGTATACAAGTCAGTTAACAGCTCAAAACAAGTATAAACTGAACTATAGATTTACTTTCTGTTCATTCCATATGTATCCTTAATTTGAATATACATACTGAGGATGATCGCTTCGATTTCCAGTACCTGATTAGTTCCAAAGAATCAGCATCTTTACGTGTACTGCCTTCATCGACAGTAACTGTGTGTAAATCCTAAATATTTTCGAGATAAGGTTTTGTGAATCCGCTGAAACTGAAATTTAGTTTATTGAAAGGACAATTCCAAACTGAGGTATTTTGAGAAAGAAGTTTTATGCTGACTAAGATTATATATAATTTTCATTCACTCTGACCACTTTTACTGATTAGAAAAGAAATCAATTACCCTGCCACTCAAACCTGTTTTGATGTATCTTTTAATATCAACATACCACCTAACTTCTCTAAATTCTTCGGGTTATGTTGAATAATTTGTTTCTTTTTGTACACAAGCCTAAAGAAATGAACAACAAACACGGGATAAAACAGCTCATATGCTTTGTTTACCGTACAGCCTACTTGCGTAATTACAAAATTAGTTTAGTTGGAGTGAATATGGAGATAAAAACTGATCAAATCAACAAATAAGACAGTATTCCTGACTGTCACTCTTCATTATGCTAAAAGCTGTATTTAATCAACCAGAACTTCAAATATGTTCCATAGAACTAGCTACAAACGTATCATCAGACTGTTCACAATGATTTACTCACCAGAACGTCTTTTCTTATTTGTTGGTGATTTTTGAGGTATAAATGCCTTTGCACTCACATACTCATAAAATCCACATTTCCTACTGATTGGTTTACTAAAAGACACTACAACAACGCCCACTGAATTAACTGGTTTTGGTTAAAATAAGTTAATGAATCAAAAAGCACTCGAACAGTTTATTTAGTGTACTAGAAATACTTCTGATAGGTTTGATATGCGTATCTTCAAATGGAGGTTAAGAAATATTCTACAAACTATTGTTTCCTACATAGAGTTGCTAATTTTTGTTCAAAAATGTCAGTGAAAAGAAATATATCTTGCCGTTCTTATTCATGAATAAATGGGCATATTTCGTCACTTAAAAATATTATGTATCTTGAAGCTTCATGAAAATGGTTATTTCTATGAAAGTATAACTAGTAGAATAAATGTTCTAGGCTAGAGTTAACTAATATTAATTCTAACGGAGATTCTATTCATTGTGCAAAGGATTTATTTTTGGTAGATACATTCATACAATATTTTGTATAAATTATGATTATTCCTCAAACAGAGTAATATATCAGACAAAGTCACCACTGTTAGTCGGTTCACCTAATTGTTATACATATAAATAAATTACTTGAGGGTTATTACTGAAGTCTTTATTTATGCTGCAGTGTTAACACAGATGTTATGGTGATGCAGTTCCACAGAAGAGACAATTTGTATTTAATTAGTTTTCAGAAATATTTTTAGAACTGTGAAGGCTGAATAAAAGAGTAGGGACTGGAAAACAGCTGTTTATTAATATTACATAATTAAATGGAAGACTGCATTATTCCCAATATTATGACACATCAAAGACAAATTATTTTGCATAATCGGAACTAATAAAAGTCAAAGTTATGTAGCAGACTCAGTAATTACGATATATTTTCTGTTAAAATATAAGAACCACATTTTCATTTCAATACCAGATTAGTAATCTGATACTTTGTTGGTAAAACGGGACAATGTGATATCAGCAAACTAATAAAGGGACTGTACTTTAGGAGAAATAAATACAATATTTATCATTTATGTGTCAGTAAATTGAATAAAAATCCACTGCGCTTTTTTGTTTTACCTACACAACAAAATTTATCAGACTAGTCACTGAATAAATTTGAATGTATTCACTCCAAACGCAAGGTGATTTATACAAAAGCATAACCTGTAGTGAATAAATTGTTATTTTCTGGTGGTTGGTAGTTTGGTGATTACTCAGTTAAATCTCGAAAACAGTTACGAATACAAATGTATTTAAATGCCAACCAAACAATTGGAAGAAAATGGAATTAACCGAGTTAATGCCTTACAAAATCAATAATAATAAAGAATTTGTGTCATCAATTTGCATGTTCACTTAAACAACTAACCTTCATCTGAGTGGCAAGAAAAGAATGTTTGACAATGTGAAGAAAACTCAAGTTCCAAACAACAACTAATTGTCTCATTTACATTCCATCAGAATTTGCTTATTTGGTGTTAATTTTCATGTCTTTTTCTTATTGCACCAACATGTATCAAATATCATGATGAACTCTGTGCAAATATAGTTGGTGCGTATTTGTATCTTCTAAATTAGAAAGTGTTTTCAGTTACAGTTCATATCTCTCACAATGTGAACAATGCAGTGTGCCATCATCAAATTCTTCGATTCTTCTCTTTATAGTACTCATCATTTATCTTGAACATCAATCACAAGACAAAGATGCTTGTTTTAATTGTTTTTGATCTATTCGTAAATATTTTCTCATTTTAAGTCTTTAGTTATTTTTTTAAACACAGGTTACCATCACTTTGGATACAGGACTTTTTATTATACATGTGTGTATTCAAGATAATGGTAATTTGAGACTTCATCTATCATTTTCTTTGATCCACTTCAGCCAACTGCATCGCTGCACTCTAAGTTTAAACAAACAATCGGGAAACTTAACAATTATTAACTTTTTTCTTATGGCAAATGCATTTATCAATATCTTTATTCTAAAAAGTATGAATAACATGATAATGTATTTTCTCCTGACTTATCTACTTTTACTATTTCTCCGTGTCGGATATGTTCATATTACTACGCTGCGCTGCTTAATAATCAGGATATTTGTAACTGTTGTGACTATTAAAATTTGCTCCCGGTCTTTTTATGCTTGATATTTAATAAAAACAACTGTTCCTTTCAAATTCATCATCAACATAGGTTTTACAGTTATAGTATTTCGCAAGAATGTTTGCTCCCAAAGTCAGATAAAAGAATACATTCCAGCAAATATTTAGGTGGGGCTTAAAGTGAGTATGTTTCTTTTTTCACCAGCTATAAGCCTTATTCGTCGCTGAACTGGGTTTGATAGTTTAGTTGTTCACGGAATATGGCGCGGGATAATTAAAGCCTAACAGTTCATGAGACTGCTTAGGATCCGTTTATCACTACTCAACCTAACGTTTAACACTGATTTAAACGATTAGCTTTTGAATCGCCTAAGATGTGAAGGTATAACCGACAGGTAGGCTGAGTTAATGGTGTAAGATTCAGTCGTTTAATACCCAAGGCCATTTTTCAAACGACGCCAGGATTAGTCGACTTTTCTGAACAGAGCTTCTTTGAATTTTATTCTAGAATTTTGTTTCCTCCTAGTCAATAATATCAAACAAAGCTGTTGACCATGATATTTTAGACTCAAAAAAAGACTTTTGATACTTCGCAACTCTTTTCTCCAAGAATGAGATAATTATTATTATTATTAGTCTCTTGGGTTCCTAATGAAACATAGGGCTTCAGTAGCACGTCTCCAGTGCACTCCCTTCGCTGAAATCTTTTGAACCTGGCTCCACAACAGCCCACTAGCCATCATTTCCTCCTCACAAGATCTCCTCAATGTCACCCTCGCCTCGGACATCCAACTCGTCGCTTCCCCCTCCCATTCCACTCAAGTGCCTGGTCTGGCGCGTGATGTCCCCAGTCGGCCTTCTCAGTGTATGCCCAATACAATCCATCTTCACCTCCTCCTTCTGCATATTTATTGAGCGATAGGTTCTTGGTTGGTTGGTTGGTTGCCAGGCCAGAGTTGCTTGTTGCTTATTCTCATTATTCTGACCATCTTAGCTTCGGTGTCAGTAACCAGCCAGAGTAGGCGGTTGTTGATGAATCCCTGTAGTTTGTTGGAAATGCCTTTCATAACGCACCAAGTCTGTGAGCCATGCAGAAGCACTGACTTGACTGACGTTGGTGTTGAAAATCTGGATGTTGTTCCACATGGTGAGTGCAGTAGATCTCCACTCTTGTTTCCGGCTTATGAACGAAGGCCTGTCTTGCTGTCTTTCCGATCCTGGCTACTTTGACGTCCTCGTCTGTGCCGTCACCTGTAGTTAAGACTGTGTTGCTTAGACAGGTGAAGAAGGCTACTTCATTCAGGTTTCTCCTGTTGATGGTGATTGGAGTTTGTTGTTGTTGGTTGGATATCGTCATCACCTCTGTCTTCTCTATATTCACTTGAAGTCACGTCTTCGCTGCCCTACCTCGACGTTTCTGTCAAATTGTTAGTTCTCGCCTGTAGATCTTCAAGTTTGTGTGGAGTCAGACACAAGTCATCGTTGGCAAAATCCAAGTCTTCCAGGTTCTTCTCCGCAGTCCAGCGCATCCCCCTCTTCTCACAGCTCCCCACTGTTTCTTGCATGATCCAGTCCACTACAATCAAGAATATCATGGGTGATAGTAGACAGCCTTGTTTCACTCCTGTCTTCACTTCACTGTGAAGGCATTACTGAGCTTCCCATTGTGAATTACTCGGCATGTGGTGTCTTCATACAGCTGTTGTTGAATGAGATTGATAAAGGTTTGCGGTGTTCTGTAGTGTTGAGGCAATTTCCAAATTATCTCTGGGTGGAAGCTTCTCAAATGCCTTCTCAAAGTCGATGAATTTGAGGTGGAGAATCGACTGTCATTCGACACTCTGTTCTATGATGATGCGTAGTGTAGCGTTGCAATTTGGTCGGCACATGATTTGTACTTCCTGAATCCAGCCAGCCTGTTTGGATCGAAGTTTTGAATCCAGTGCATCCTTTAGTCTTTCCAGGATGATGCGGCTCAATATTTTGCTTGCTCTGGGTGGGCAAGAGCATGATTCCACTCCAGTTCTTGCAGAGACTTACGTCGCCCTTCTTTGGGAGTTTGACAAGGTAGCTCTTCTTCCAAACAATCGGCAGGTACCTCCTCCTCCTTCCACACCTTCTGCAACAGTGTTGTGGTGTGAGCATGTCCGCTGTTGTCTCTGAGTCTGTTCTCAGTCCTTCTGGTGGGGTTCCATCTCCTCTTGCTGCTTTCCCGCATTTCAGTAGCTTCATGGCATTCAGGGCTTATACTTTCGTCAGAGGATTTGTGTTCACTGGCAGTTCTGTGAGTGCAGGTGGTGTTTCTGGACGAAGTGCAGGTGGTGGTCTATTCAAGGGCTTTTTTGAGTGGTCAGTCTATCGTTTCCTTTGTTTCTCTCCTTTCGTAATTCAATTTCCTTCGTCATCTTTCAATGGTTTCATCTGTGTTGATCTATTCCCTCCCACATAGTAACCTGGTTATTTGATATAATGTTGTCAGGTCTCTGACTCTCCTACCTGCATCCTATTCTGTTTCACTTGCCAGTGTTTCGTAGAAGTGTCATTTGTCTTTGCGTGCACTCTTCCTCAATTCTTTGTCCAGTTTAGTGTTTTATACATTGTATTCAGTTCCTCTTGTCGTTGTGCATCCTTGGGCTGGTTTATCTTCTGCTTCACTATCCCCCTCTTCCTACTCGATCAGCTTCCATACATCCATCGAGATGCATTCCTTATCTTCTTTCTTCTCCCTTCCTAATACGGTTGTGCAGATTTCCTTCCACACAGCTTTCAAAAAGTTCCAGTATTCTTGCACACACGTTTCTTCAGGAATGTTGCTCGATATCTTCCATTTTGTCTTGATGGCTGACTGACGTGAAGATTTCCTTTGTAGTTTTGTCCTTCAGTTAGTTTCTGTTCTGGGTGTTCAGCTTCAACTGTGGTCTATAACCAACTTCCTTGAAGGCATTCAACTTGATTTGGAAGGTTCCTTGCACTAGATAGTGAGTGGTATGAACCTACGTCTGATCCTCTTCTTGACCTTGTGTCAAGTAGGCTGCGTCTCCCCTCCTTTAGATTAGGGTAAATTCGATCTGATTTTTAGCGTATCCTGGTGTCCGATGAATTCAAATCAATGTCGCTCGCTTTGTGACTACCCTTTTGCTTGAACACACTGCCTGACTCCAATCACCGAATCGTTGAATGCACAGAATTCTGCAAACAATTCCCATTCTCACTTATTTCACCGAGTTCTTCTCTGCCCATGGTTAGTTCTCGCCCTGTGTTGCCCGCTCCCAGTTTGTCAGTCACGTCACCCATTAGAATTTTGATGTCACTAACTGGGTTCTTGTCCAGTGCTGATTGCAGTTGTCTGTAGAATTCCTCCTTCTCCTCTTCACCGGCATTATTTGCAGGTGCACAGCGTAGCATTGAGCCATTGTGACCTTCCTTCCTTCCTTCCTTCCTTATGAGTTGAACCTTTCTGTCATGATCCTGGAGGAGTAGATTGGTTCCCCCTGCATGAGAGAGATAGCCTTCGATGCTGTTGGGGACATCACATGATAGCCACTCGAATATTCAGTGTGCATGTGGTTGTCGTTTGGATGATAATATCGGAGTAGATTATTGATTCTACTCTACAGTTAACAGTTTGGAGAGTCCACTCCCATTCTATCTACTTTCGCAAATTCCAAGCACTTCGATGTGATACCTCTTTATCACCTTTTCAGTCTGGGCAGCCTTGGTAAGTTCAAACATGGTGCTGATATTCCATGTCCCCATGTTTAATTTTGCTTTCATCTAGGGAGTGAAGATGCATCGGTCAATCGACTTTGCGAAGGCTGTCACCAACTGGCGTCATTTCGCCTCTCCGATTCCAGTGAGGAGTGATTTTGTTCTTATTTTTAATGTTTTGTTTGTGCTTTGAAGTTTGTTTAGCGATTTGATTGGTTTTGCGGGTTAGGGTTGCTAGCCGTATGCACAACCTTCCCTCTTTACCCGAGGTTAGGATTGGCTAGTAACTAGTGAACTAGTGAAC